GCAAAGCTCGCACAGACTCCCATCAGCGAATGATGGGCAGGGGAGGGGATTTCTCTCCGACGATCCCCTCGGCGCTGCCAAGAGGACACGAAACCCTAACGAGAGGGGCCCTTTCTCCACTGATGTAGTATGATCTAAGAGTGCCTTCACTACATCGTGCCTTCACTGCTTAGTGCGCGCACGGCCCACACAGACAGATAGGCAAGGTGCTGTCCTATACAGGATTGGACGCTGAATCTGTAGAGTGCTTACAACAATTACTAAGGACAAAAGCTTGGCGTGTTTGACAGATCATCAACAGCGCAAGTCAACATACCTCCATATAAAAAACAGCAACCACCTTTGATGCTGTACACCATAACCAGGCATATCATTGATAACATGACACCCAAAACATATATGGTGAGACGCAATAGAAAAACACACACCAGCAACATCAACAAGCCAAAATAGCCTCACATTCCATTCACCCTGGAGCATAAAACATGATAGTGCTATGTCACTTTGCACTCCACATTAACTTCGGTCATACTGACTGCAACTGCAGCCGCCGGGATACAGGGGTTCTCATAATCAACTAACTAAAAATTCGCCTTTATTTAGCAAACTGGGTAGTCTGATAACTCTTATCTCTTTGTAGATACATGGCACCTCTAACCTGTAAACAGCAATCAGAGCCAGACCTCTTCTTTCTCTAGAGATATGTACATCCATCACTGTGTATAGCCTCCAGGGGTCTTGGAAATATGTGACCACTGTCTCGAGGTATTGATGCCAGCCTAATTTCCATCCGTCGCTCCAGATATAGCACCCTTGGGTCCAAAATCAAGTCTCACCCAAAGTGATGGAGACCTACCTACTGGTGGGTTATGTTACTTCACTATTGCTGTGATTCTGTGAATCAAATCAAAGAGCTGCCTTTTCAGCTATAGCTGAGACTTTCGTTGACAAATCTGAGATTTCACTTCATAGAACCATCTCACCAACAGTCATTTCATTCACAAACTTCAGAATGAGCCGCAAAATCCAGAGAATTCTCCACAACTTGCAACATCTGTTTTGATGGAAGTATCTGCAAGACAAGTTGATAGATTAGTAAACATTTGATAGGCAAATGAAAAGGTGCGCGCAAGAGTGCTTCCTGGTAGAAAATAATATACTAGCAATATTTGTGCAAAAATATGTCCATTTGTTTTGTATAACAAAAATGTACGCATATACTCCCTCCGTTCCTAAATATTTTTTTAGAGATTTCAACAAGTGACTACATACGGAGCAAAATGAGTGAATCTACACTCTAAAATATGTCTACATACGTATGTGGTAGTCCATTTAAAATCTCTAAAAAGACAAATATTTAGGAACGGAGGGAGTAGTTGCTAAGACATTCGTCCCTCAAAACCATCATAATTTTGCAAAAATGTTTGCTAATGCATAATGCACATCTATACAAAAATCGTATTGCTTTCAAAAGGAAGTGTTTGTCACTTCCCAATACCACATGCACCTAACAGCACAAAATACATTTTCCTATTTGGTGACAAGTTCCTTTTATTTTCCGAGACATTTTTTCTGTTAGATAACTCCGCCTATGTTGTCTCAACATAGCCGGTCCCAAGCCCGGGTAAAGGAGGAGGGTTGTGATAGGCTTGGCGAGCCAACGTAAAAACTCAGCCACTCTTATGGAGATGAAACCCAAAAGATTTTGGTTGGGGCGTAACCCTCTCAGCGACGCGCCACATCGGAACCCGGGTGTGGTGGAAAATGGGCAAGGGCCGGGCCGTCACCCCCCAAGTGGCGCGCCGTATCTTGATCCGGATACGGTGGCAAGTGAGCGAGGATCGGGTCGTCGCATCCTTAGTGGCGCGCTACATCGGCGCCCGGATGTAGTGGAAAATGAGCAAGGGTCTTCGCATTTGACTCGACGAGTGCGAAGGGTAAGGAAGCTAGCCGAGCCTAGGAGGATTCGCTTAGGTAGCTGGAACGTAGGGTCTCTGACAGGGAAGCTTCGGGAGCTAGTTGATGCAGCAGTGAGGAGAGGTGTTGATATCCTTTGCGTCCAAGAAACCAAATGGAGAGGACAGAAGGCGAAGGAGGTGGAGGATACCGGCTTCAAGCTGTGGTACACGGGGACGGCTGCAAACAGAAATGACGTAGGCATCTTGATCAACAAGAGCCTCAAGTATGGAGTGGTAGACGTCAGGAGACGTGGGGACCGGATTATCCTGGTCAAGCTGGTAGCTGAGGACTTGGTTCTCAATGTTATCAGCGCATATGCCCCGCAAGTAGGCCACAATGAGAACACCAAGAGGGAGTTCTGGGAAGGCTTGGAAGACATGGTTAGGAGTGTACCAATTGGTGAGAAGCTCTTCATAGGAGGAGACCTCAATGGCCACGTGGGTACATCTAACACAGGTTTTGAAGGGGCGCATGGGGGCTTTGGCTATGGCATCAGGAATCAAGAAGGAGAAGATGTCTTAAGCTTTGCTCTAGCCTACAACATGATTGTAGCTAACACCCTCTTTAGAAAGAGAGAATCACATCTGGTGACTTTTAGTAGTGGCCAACACTCTAGCCAGATTGATTTCATCCTCTCGAGAAGAGAAGATAGGCATGCGTGCCTAGACTGTAAGGTGATACCTGGGGAGAGTGTTGTACCCCAGCATAAGCTGGTGGTTGCTGACTTCCGCTTTCGGATTCGTGTCCAGCGGGATAAGCGTGCCAAGGTCGCTAGAACGAAGTGGTGGAAGCTCAAGGGGGAGGTAGCTCAGGTGTTCAAGGAGAGGGTATTTAAGGAGGGCCCTTGGGAGGAAGGAGGGGATGCGGACAATGTGTGGATGAAGATGGCGACTTGCATTCGTAAGGTGGCCTCGGAGGAGTTTGGAGTGTCCAGGGGAAGGAGAAGCGAAGATAAGGATACCTGGTGGTGGAATGATGATGTCCAGAAGGCGCTTAAAGAGAAGAAAGATTGCTTCAGACGCCTATACCTGGATAGGAGTGCAGACAACATAGAGAAGTACAAGATGGCGAAGAAGGCCGCAAAGCGAGTTGTTGGTGAAGCAAGGGGTCGGGCATATGAGGACCTCTACCAACGGTTAGGCACGAAGGAAGGTGAAAGGGACATCTATAAGATGGCTAAGATCCGGGAGAGGAAGACGAGGGATATTGGCCAAGTCAAATGCATCAAGGACGGAGCAGGCCAACTCTTGGTGAAGGACGAAGAGATTAAGCATAGATGGCGGGAGTACTTCGACAAGCTGTTCAATGGGAAGAATGAGAGTTCTACCATTGAACTGAATGACTCCTTCGATGAGACCAGCATGCGTTTTGTGCGGCGCATCCAGGAGTCTGAGGTGAAGGAGGCTTTAAAAAGGATGAAAGGAGGCAAGGCGATGGGCCCTGATTGTATCCCCATTGAGGTGTGGAAAGGTCTCGGGGACATAGCGATAGTATGGCTAACCAAGCTTTTCAACCTCATTTTTCGGGCAAACAAGATGCCAGAAGAATGGAGACGGGGTATATTAGTACCAATCTTCAAGAACAAGGGGGATGTTCAGAGTTGTACTAATTACCGTGGAATTAAGCTGATGAGCCATACAATGAAGTATGGGAGAGAGTCATTGAGCACCGCTTAAGAAGAATGACAAGCGTGACCAAAAATCAGTTTGGTTTCATGCCTGGGAGGTCGACCATGGAAGCCATTTTCTTGGTACGACAACTTATGGAGAGATATAGGGAGCATAAGAAGGACTTGCATATGGTGTTCATTGACTTGGAGAAGGCCTATGATAAGATACCGCGGAATGTCATGTGGTGGGCCTTGGAGAAACACAAAGTCCCAGCAAAGTACATTACCCTCATCAAGGACATGTACAATAATGTTGTGACAAGTGTTCGAACAAGTGATGTCGACACCGATGACTTCCCGATTAAGATAGGACTGCATCAGGGGTCAGCTTTGAGCCCTTATGTTTTTGCATTGGTGATGGATGAGGTCACAAGGGGTATACAAGGAGATATCCCATGGTGTTGCTCTTTGCGGATGATGTGGTGCTAGTTGACGATAGTCGGACGGGGGTAAATAGGAAGTTAGAGTTATGGAGACAAACCTTGGAATCGAAAGGGTTTAGGCTTAGTAGAACTAAAACCGAGTACATGATGTGCGGTTTCAGTACTACTAGCTATGAGGAGGAGGAGGTTAGCCTTGATGGCCAGGTGGTACCTCGGAAGGACACCTTTCGGTATTTGGGGTCAATGTTGCAGGAGGATGGGGGTATTGATGAAGATGTGAACCATCGAATCAAAGCCGGATGGATGAAGTGGCGCCAAGCTTCTGGCATTCTCTGTGACAAGAGAGTGCCACAAAAGCTAAAAGGCAAGTTCTACAGGACGGCGGTTCGACCCGCAATGTTGTATGGCGCGGAGTGTTGGCCGACTAAAAGGCGACATGTTCAACAGTTAGGTGTGGTGGAGATGCGTATGTTGAGATGGATGTGTGGCCACACGAGGAAGGATCGAGTCCGGAATGATGATATACGAGATAGAGTTGGGGTAGCACCAATTGAGGAGAAGCTTGTCCAACATCGTTTGAGATGGTTTGGGCATATTCAGCGCAGGCCTCCAGAAGCTCCAGTGCATAGCGGACGGCTAAAGCGTGCGGAGAATGTCAAGAGAGGGCGGGGTCGACCGATTTTGACATGGGAGGAGTCCGTTAAGAGAGACCTGAAGGATTGGAGTATCGACAAAGAGCTAGCTATGGACAGGGGTGCGTGGAAGCTTGCTATCCATGTGCCAGAGCCATGAGTTGGTTGCGAGATCTTATGGGTTTCACCTCTAGCCTACCCCAACTTGTTTGGGACTAAAGGCTTTGTTGTTGTTGTTGTTGTTGTTGTTGTACATTTTTTCTGTTAGATGTGTCAGATAGAAATCAGAAAAGGCTGAAAACAAGACAAAAGACGCCCAATTGATGGTGCTGGAAACATGAGGACCGGTGTACACAATTAATTATAGAGGAAGAGTCTGAAAACAGGTTGAATAAATAAATAAAATATGGTAAAATAGCGTACCATTGGTGGACAAACTCACGATCCTGAACTTGACTTTTGAACCCATACTTGTCTCTGCACACATCATTTATGGTATTAGACTTTTAGAGTAATAATGCCTAACAAAAATCACCCCCATGCAGTCAGCCAAGGCAAGTAAAAAAGCTATAAACTAATCACACCTCATGAGCCACATAGCTAGCAGGGCCCCTCTTTGAAGGCTTTCCATCAGATGTAATAGGAGGGATTTCCATCTCCTTCGACCCACGTGGCGGACCACGGCGGTTGGCATGCCTGTTTCCTGAATAACATATTACACCATGAACCACAGTACAGAAACTGATATAGAAAAAACTTTGGATTGCTTGTCTGCTAATTGCTAACAATAATTATAGCCAGATAAAAACAAACCATTCTCCACAAGGCCACCACGGCCACCAGGACTCCTTGTGTCTATTTTTCTCTCTCCATGGCCTGCATCATCAAGTATGTTAATACAGTAATAACTCAAGCATCAGGAATAATTAACAATAAAAGTTGTTAAATGACTCGTACCATCTACTTGCTGAGAGAAATTGTCCATAGAGTGTGACTGCATTAGCGGGAACTCAGACGATGAGGCTTGCGTACCGCCTCCTGATGCAGACTTGTCATAGCGGCGAGGGGCCCAAACACCTCGGTCAGGCCTATCTCTATTTCTGGCATGTCTTTCAATCTTCTCACCAATGGGTCCAGAACCATGCAGATGATTATGCTTGTCATCATAGTGGTTTTTCTCAGCATTTTCAACAGTCTGATCTTTTACAGTGGAACGCGAGTTCGGAGCCCGTGGTGGCCTCTTATCCTTCTCGGCACTAATTATGTGACCTTCTTGCTCATGTTGAGATGATGCTATTGCATGGCGTCCTTCCTTGTTTGAAAGTATAGTCTTGATAATTCTGCCACTGGCCTCATTTCGCTGGTCTTGTCTAGAAGTTGATGGGGGTGTATTTCTCGAAGGCGGCACAGACTGCTGCGGGGTTGAGCTATCAGATATCTGTGGCAAAGCAGATAATATGACAGTCCATACCAATTAAATGATATAAAAAAAACCTCGGGGAATGTGTCTGCTTACATTGGAATCAACCCTCGCTCTTCCTTTCAGAAGGACTATTTTGTCCTTTTTACCGTCGATGACCTGAGCAGATCCAGATGGCCCACCGCTTGTAGCATCTACAAGACGGGACAAAACAAAACAACAGTATTAAAATCATAGAGGAAATAGGCATTTGTATTCCACTATAAGGATGGAAAGTAGTGGATCACATAGGGTAAAGAAAGAACTAAAGATTAAGTGGTACAAAACAATAATTCAACAGTTACCCTTGTAAAGGGAATACAGCTCCATGATTAAAAATAAATAAATGAAAAAACAACACACAATTCTCGAATACGACAAATAACGTAAATGTGGTAAGTAGGTGACATCATGCAAGGAGGACTGGCATCGTTCCCATGAACGGATTGCGTGTCGGAATTGAAAACATCCACTTGGGCTACTGCCACATGTCAGTTTTTGAACCAAACAAGTGAGGAACACAATCTATGTTTCTTTGCACTGACGGTGCTTCGGATTGGCTTTTCAAAAACACACTTATTTTTGCCATTGCAGAAAACATTAGCTAGCAAGCTAACACATTGAAGTCAAAATAGTAAAGGTTCCAATATTAGCTAGATTCCGTGCCACGCAGTACAGACAAACCAACTTATTTTTGCCATTGCGGAAAACATTAGCTAGCAAATTAACACATTGAAGTTAAAATAGTAAAGGTTCCAATATTAGCTAGATTCCGCGCCACGCAGTACACGCAAAACAACTCAGCCATGAGTCTGTTCTTACAAACATGAACTATGTCCCATTCCCATGTAACGGATTAAGCTCAAGTTGACAATGGGGCTCAAAGACCCTAGTCTGTCTATTAGTTGATACAACATTCCAACAACACATAGTCAAGGGTCATACCAGAAAGACCACACTTAGTAATAATCTATGACACCCAAAGTACTGTTGAGTATTGACAACAGTTATAACAACAAGCTAATAACAATAAACAATTTCTTCAATGTAGTACCACCTGAAGTTCCAGCAATGATTTTCTCTCTGTGTGTATGATCATCTCTCTTTGGCGCTAAGATGTAAGTCGGCTTCTCCTTAGCATTGTCTCGCACAACATACTGCTGGATATCACAGAACAGAGCATATTAGTAACTTCAGTTCATAATTCATTGCGAATAATAAACAGAAAGTACCAATTGTTGTTTACTTAGTTTTGACAGGTAACCATTCTCAGAGAGAAAAGACATGGAACACCATGAAAAAGCCTCAAGGAAAGAAGTACTCCCCCCATCCTGAATTACGTGTCCTAGATTTATCTAGTTACGGATCTATCTAGACACGTTTTAGTGTTCGATACATCCGTATCTAGAAAAATCTAAGACAAGCTTTTTGGGACGGAGGTAATACTACTTTTTACAGAACACCACAAAATAAATAGTGCAACACTCAAGATAACCAATATGAAGCGCCGAGCATTACAGTGTCTATATGCTTCAACCAAATACAACTGAATACACACTTGCATATGTTCAAAAGAAATTATGAGAACTCCACAACCATAACCCAAAAAAGAACAATTCTGAAGTGGTTGGAATGTATAAAACATATATGAGCATATGATCCATAGATACTGGGGCAAAACATGCATAGAGGAAACGACAGGCTGACAGTAATCATGAGGATTAACATGCTAACATAAAAAAAACATAGGAAATATACAGAGCATCTGATCCATAGTGATAAGTTTATGATACAAACATAAAAGGAAACAAAAGAAACATCTTATTTCACTATTTCAGATCAAAATACAAATAGAACAGCAGAACCGTTGAGAATATTTTGTAGGGATATAAAATGAAAACATATAGTAAAGAACTAATCTATACCTACTCACTCCGGTCCTTTTTACTCCGCATATTAGATTTGTGTCAAGTCAAACATTGCAAAGTTTGAACAAATTTATATTAAAAAATATCAACATCTACAATACCAAATATATATATACTATGAAACTACATTTCATAACGACTCTAACAATATTGATTTGGCATTGTGAATGTTGATACTTTTTCCTATAAGTTTGGTCAAAGTAGAGATACTTTGACTCCGGACAAAGTTATATGCAGACTAAAAAGGACCGAAGGGGTACTTGTCTAGGCATAGAGGTACACTACTCAACACCTACTTCTGTAAAAACATGACATGGTAATGTGCTGGCATTTGAGCCCCACCTGCTACCACATGTTATAATCCAAAAATGGCCAATAAAAAAAGGTTCGTGTCACCATATACATGCTTGGAACAGACTTGTTATTACATGTTACTATTTCAAGTACAAAATTAATGAGTAGGCCTACTCAAAACATATGTATGGAAGGATAAGATCCATTTCATGTGACAATTCTCGACCAAGCATATTACCGTTGAAGTGGAGGCCCTGCGCCTTTCAGAAGACCTTTTAGATGGACTAGAACTACTAGTTACCACACCTGCAACTTTTCTGCTTAGTCTACTACTTACAGACCTCTGCAGCGTGTGAAATGCTAGTTAGTACACACCTGACAGTTGATAAACGATAATAAAACTTGAGAGTATAATCAATTCAACCAATATACCTGAGCCATACTCTTAGCCGCCCTTTGCTGACGAACATAAACCATAAGAGGTGTCACAACAGGGGGCTCCTTTCCAGCAGCTGCAATAGTAACCAAGTAAAGATATGACCTTCTTTTATGCTTAGCATCTTTGAATACATAAATTAATTACGCAATAATGCTTTACTACCAATAGAAAGTTACGAGATGTTTTACCTGCTCTTTCAGCTTCTTTCCTTTCAAGCTGAATTTCAGCACTTGGCAAATGCTCAGTAGGCTTTGATATAAGCTCAAGAAACTCCAAGTATTCTGGATCTGAATATTCGACAACAGAAATAACTAAGTTTGAAAAAACGAGAAATATGGAAGTACGGTACATATTGGACAACAAAAATGCTTGTTTAAGACCTTTCGTTATAGTTCCTTGACGAGCATCTTTCTTGATATTTGACTTCGGAACCTGTTGTGATGGTGCATATTCCACAAGAGCTTTAAATTGAGCACCTGGCAGGGAACCATGGACAACATGCATGACATACAAATTAAAACATGCATAGATGCATAACCAAACATATACTCGAGTTTTAGGAAAAAAAGAACTTCGCAAATTGATTAAAGAATTACGACAAGCTAACAATTTCAGTTCCTAACAGGATATATTGATTAACTAACCCCACAAGTCAACAATACAACATAGGTGGTGATTGTGTTCATTCATTATGTCTGACCTATGTTTTTAAGGCGGTAAGGCGAGGCGAGGCGCTGGGGGGGCGCCTCACTGCCTAAGCGCTAAGGCATAAGGCGAGGCGACGCCTTAGAGACTTGTAAGCAACAGAATTAAGTAGAATTTGGTAGGCATTAGGCAACTAGGCATACAGCCATACACACCTTGCAACTGATGGTTGTAGAGCCCATATGGTTCTGGAGAGGATGGAGAATCTGCAGGAGAGGATGGAGAATCTGCAGGAGAGGAGGAGGAGGAACTGTAGGAGGGGAGGGGGATCTGCCGGGGAGGAGGGGGAAGCTGCCAGAGAGGAGGGGGAGAAGCTCAGATCCAGCCTGGGGGTGGGGGGAAACTGAAAATGGTTACAGGTCTCTCTCTCTCTCCCTCTAGTACCTGTTGGCGCCAAAACAAAGTTTCCCGCCCTTTCCTTCCCTCCCAGTTATCTGTTTCCCGCCTAAACCACCCAGCTCTGTCTAA